CCCCCCCCCCCCCCCCCAATATTGTACTGGTATTCATCGGTCCGGCAACCAGCTAACATAATGCGACATAACATGACACAGAATATTCAAAACGGGGCGTGTCAAATCCACTATCCCTCCCAGGGGCGCTCCAACAGAATCGTTAATGTCAACGCAGCCCCACTCTCGCCCTTCGACTAGCTCCACAAGCAAGAACACCAAGCCCTTGTTGTCAGAGAGGAACGACATGTTGCAATACCCTATGAACCCTAACCCCGAAGCAACAGACTGAAATGTGTGAAATTGACGGACGTGGTCTGCGCAAGTCTGAACACGCAAAATGCGACTGCCATACACTTAAAGCACTGCCAAGAAAACGTAAGCAGATAATATAGTATAATATAGTACAATATGGAATAATATAGTTTAATCTAGTATAATATAGTAACATATACCAGCTCCAAGAAGGTTGTTCTGGTGCGCTGGCTGTTCTTCGGGGCATTTATACGGGAGGCTGTCACAACTATGGATGATTGTAATTCATTCTGCTGCAGCCTGATGAGACATGATCACATCTACCCTAAGCAGGGTCACTATCAAAGCCAAAACCTCGAGCGGTAAATACCAAACCTTGAACCCTGAAAAACTGGACCCCACGCTTGAAGCTTTAAGCCTGACACAAGGCCCTTGCATCACAACCCTGCTAGGACTCTCCTGCTCCGAAGTCCGATGAGGCTTGCCGAGGAAACTACGCTCCAGCTGGATGGACATTGTGAACCTCCAAGGGCTTATAAGGCCAGGGTGGCGGGCTTGGGGTTTAGGATTGAGGTTGAGGGCTTAGGCTTTGGGTGGGGGCTGGTGATACGATGAAGGTCCCAGTGCCGAGATTGTGGTATATGAAGGAGCCTATGCACATGGAGAGGAACTTTAGGACACGTTCACTTAATCTGCAATGATCTGTTAAGGCATGCTGTCTGAACACTGTGCCACTCTGTGGTAAGCACATAACAGGATGCAAATACCCGCAGTGCCGTTTGTTTTGCGGTCACTCTGCTCCAACAAGTCGAGTTTAGCAAAGCGCTGCTTTGCA